GAAAGTACAATCACTGAAAGGAATGAAAGCTTTTCCCCCACCATTATCACATTATGCTGTTTCCCTCTTAACAAAGTTCTAGTTCTTCAATGTTCTCTTTCCATCCCCCAAAGCTAATCTATCCCAGTATAATCTAACCTTTTGCTCAAAAAGGCAGGTGTATTCTCAGGAATAAAATGTGCCTGCCCCTGCTATCTTGCCCTCAGTTCTCATTGGTCCACCTGGCACAGGAAGCAGAAAGTGGCCTAGCCATTTAAGGGACTTACAAAACAGCAATGAGAGTAAATTCAAATTGTCAGATTGGATATCGGATGAGAGACCATTCTGGGGTGATAGTCATTCAGGGTATCACAACTGAGAATCAAACATAAGGCAGGATGGGGAGTTATAATCACTAGTTAAGAGGTTAGACAATGTTGAGCTGACTATTGCTGCTTCCTTGTTTAAATGGCTAAGCTACTTTCCATGTGATGTGAAGTGCCAATCAGAATAGTGAATCAGCCTACCTGCATGTAAGGGTGAGTCATCCAGAGATGCATATGGTCAAAGGAGATACTGTGAATAATCAACGTACAAATAACAATGAAAGCAGTTTGCACGGAAGAAAGCATAAAGCATAAAGGTGATAGCCAAGGAGAGACCCTTGCGGGACCATGAGAGAATGGCTATGGTACATTACTGAACGCTTAATTACCAAATCCTGCTCCTCTTTCTAAAAACTGCCATGATGCACCATCACTTGCAACTGTCAGAAACAGAATAATGGACTGGATGGATCACTGGTCCATTCCATTCTGACAATCCCTATCTTCCTGTGAAAAAATACTATGTAGTTTGGTGGTGGTTTTTCATTTTTAACAAGGATAAAGACAATGACTACAACCATGTTAAAATACTAGATGAATTCTAATGAGCTAAGCAAAATGTGACGAGCTCTGTTAAAAAAAGAAAGTATGTCAAATGAGACAGAAACCTCATCTGGTTCAATGACAGGATTATATCTAACTGAAGACAACAGTCATGTCCCTAGCAGATAACCTATTTCAAAAAGTATTCCAAGAATAATTGAACAC